ATACACAACCAGATCAGACCATACTCAGCCCATATAATACCACAATATACAGTACACTTGGATAATCAACACATGTAGCTTCAAGAAGTTCAAATTAGTGATAATTAGAATCACTTTCATCATTTCACTGATAATTTCTCTATTTCAACTTTTAATTACCCTGGCACACACTAAGTACACACACATTCACTAGCTTTGTCCGTAACAGAAAGAAAGCTAATTAAAAATGTAGTTATCCACTCCGGCTATAACCAAGCACTGTACCGGAACTGTAGTACCGGAACACTGGTATAGTAGGGATTTATATACATTATCGGTGGAGAGCGTGTATTTCACAGGAAAAATAAATGTAGAACATTGCAGCTGGGTGGCGCGGCGCACTGGCGGATACTTATGCACTTTATAACATGTTATTCTGTCAAATCATGTATATTATGTATAATATCATGTGCGGACAATCACCCGCCTATAATAATGTGTATACCAAGACTAAGATAGAGTACGTAACTTGTACACTTAGATCTTGTCGTGATAATAATTCAGAGAATAAATACAGTAAAAATATTACTGGTTCTGTTAAACATCTGCAGGACAGTTATCATCTCCTGGACTCTCCGCACATCTCTCGTGTCACGTGACAGATGTGAGGAGCGAGGTGGTCCGGGGCTATGACGCAGGGTTATAGTGTCACGTGATCAGGGTTATAGTGTCACGTGATCAGGGTTATAGTATCACGTGATCAGGGTTATAGTGTCACGTGATCAGGGTTATAGTATCACGTGATCAGGGTTATAGTGTCACGTGATCATGGTTGCAGCGGTCACGTGATCAGGGTTAGCTCTACTCTAGAACATGTTTACTGGATCCCATCCTATCACAGATCTCAGGGTTCACCCCGTCAAAACTCACACATGAGCTGGAATGTTGTGGAGAGGGTTTTAAACACAGAATTACAAAACGGCACGTTCTTTTCTGTCACAATCCCGTACGCTTTGAAGCCTTGTTGTAGAGAGAGAGAGAGAGAGAGAGAGAGAGGCGAGACAGCTGATAAATTTCCCCCTTTTCACTACAGTCACGGATGTAGACCAGAGTAAGGATACGTACCAGGACACCACGCGTTTATTATGTTTCCTGGATCCGGTCATATCGTTAGAAGCAGAACTAGTACTTACTAGTACTTACTCGCACTTACTCCTCGCGCTAGTAGTGGAATATTAACGTGTTCTTTGGAAACAGTGATGGCTAATCGCTTCGACGACAGCTCATATATGAACTGTAATTATAGCTACTCAGCGAAATATGACCAACGTTTGATGTCCAAACTTTGCACATAATCTACGGCATGAAATCTTGCAGTAATGATCGGATAATTAATGAGTTAATGATAATTGGTTTATTCCTTGAATACTTAACAATGTCACTGCTGTTGTTGAGTTAAAAATACACTGCGGTTTATTGTGGTGTGTACATTGTGCATTAAATATCACACGTTAGGAATATGTAGTCAAGCTGTAAATTAGCCGAACATTTCTTCTGCATGGCGGCAACAACTCAGGAAAGAAAAAAATTTCTCCTGCCAACGGTCGAGGAATTTCAATTCAGTGATTGGCCCGGAGGCCGATTAAGTGTTAAGAAAGAGGCTAATTGAGAAGAGTTCTCTGATTACCAGGCTAATCAAAGCTGTCAGTAGGAGATATCGGTTGTAAGCTTTTTACCCATCAGTTAAGGTTAACAAGGTAACCCTTGCTGACACGCGGCGCGGCTTCCCGGTCGTTAGCGGGGCTGTTCCGGCAGGTTGGGTTGCGGCACTGTGGCAGTAAGGTAGGTATTGTGGCTTTTAGACATTTGGAAATATTAATGTGCGGGTACTACTTCTCAACACTGGGTTCACAGGGCTTCTTGTTAACTATATCTTTGTAACGGGATATATAACTAGCGGGCTATAACACATTCTGCAGACTCATGTAAAGAGGGGGTATTAACTTGGAGAGTTATTATAGTTAGAAAAGTTTATACCTTGACAGGATATAATATTTTAATATATCCTATTATGTTTCCTTACTCAGGGCCAGGGGCATATCCTTATCATATATATTATTTATAATGAGTCATGTAAAACATTTCTCGTGGGGTATACTACGGGTTTACGGAGTGCGGTAAAGCGTGCGGTATAGAGTGCGGTATAGAGTCATGGAAATAAACGTGATGCATAATCCTGAGGGTGTATTAAATTGCTGTAAATTGTTGGGGAAATAAACTTACTGTGTTGTTGTAAGAACGGTTTGAGATGTCTTTCAAAGAAAATTGACGGGTAGAAATAATAACTTTAATACTTCCCATGTAAATCATCACGATGTGATCTGTTCTAATTACTAGAAATCTTACAACACTGAGAAGTATTATTATATCGTCCAGAAAGTTCCATCAACTTTATTTTCAACACTAACTACTAAGGTGAAACTCCCCGTGAAAGCCGTCAAAAGCTGACACTAGCCGCCTTTCACAGCGGATAACTTTGAGATACGTTACTTCACATTTACATAGTCATATCCGACCAACATTGACTTTGTCAATATCACGTTTTCATCCAGAAAGTCCATTTAACTTACTTTCCGACAATTTAGCCGCTGGTATTAGTCGAGTGACTCTACAACTGTAAGTAGGTAGGGGTGACCTTTGCAATTACGCGGCAAATTGATAAACCAACATTTAGACACGGTAACTGAGAGTTTGACAGACCAAAAACGGTGACGTATACCAAAACCGGATACACTGGTTCTACTTCTAGAAGATATAATATTATATCACATGATTCTAGAATATGTGTAGTTTGAGGCGACACTCCAGATGATGGCTGACAAACTCTAAAACTAGTCTAGTTTTGCTGTGAAACTAGTCTAGTTTCACAGCAACATATCAGTAACCACCAACATATCAGTATTACAGCAGAAGATGTAATAGTACAAGATGATAGCACATGTTTTAAGTGCAGTACAGGGAGTGTGTACTCAGCATTACAGCAGAAGATGTAATAGTAAAAGATGATAACACATGTTTTAAGTGCAGTACAGGGAGTGTGTACTGAGCATTACAGCAGAAGATGTAATAGTACAAGATGATAACACATGTTTTAAGTGCAGTACAGGGAGTGTGTACTGAGTATTACAGCAGAAGATGTAATAGTACAAGATGATAACACATGTTTTAAGTGCAGTACAGGGAGTGTGTACTCAGTATTACAGCAGAAGATGTAATAGTACGAGATGATAACACATGTTTTAAGTGCAGTACAGGGAGTGTGTACTCAGTATTACAGCAGAAGATGTAATAGTACGAGATGATAACACATGTTTTAAGTGCAGTACAGGGAGTGTGTACTCAGTATTACAGCAGAAGATGTAATAGTACGAGATGATAACACATGTTTTAAGTGCAGTACAGGGAGTGTGTACTCAGTATTACAGCAGAAGATGTAATAGTACAAGATGATAACACATGTTTTAAGTGCAGTACAGGGAGTGTGTACTCAGTATTACAGCAGAAGATGTAATAGTACGAGATGATAACACATGTTTTAAGTGCAGTACAGGGAGTGTGTACTCAGTATTACAGCAGAAGATGTAATAGTACAAGATGATAACACATGTTTTAAGTGCAGTACAGGGAGTGTGTACTCAGTACTACAGCAGAAGATGTAATAGTACAAGATGATAGCACATGTTTTAAGTGCAGTACAGGGAGTGTGTACTCAGCATTACAGCAGAAGATGTAATAGTACGAGATGATAACACATGTTTTAAGTGCAGTACAGGGATTGTGTACGGAGTGTGTGGGGAGGCAGTACTACGTAACCACCTATCATCACCAGCTAGGGAGAGTTACACTTTGTCAGTGTCGTGTGTCGGTGGAGCATATAGTACCACAGATAGTGTCTTAGTGTACACAGGGGAGGGGGGCTGTTTGACTCTGCTAAACCGCCAGGCTACTCTACAACTTCACTGTTGGTTTGTAGTTGGGGAGCTCGCTTTGTGGTGATCCGGATTTGAAGCTGTGCGATATTTTTGTGGCATCTTGATATTTGAGAGTGTAGATTACAGAATATAAGTGGAGTAGTTGTACTTGTTAAAGAATCAGCTACTCAGGAGAAAAGTTGGGGAAACTATTATAATTATATTACTCACTAACTCACTAACTCATAGCCTGGATATTCAAAACATATTACTCACTAACTCAAACCCTGAATACAAAATTAATTACTTTATTGTACCGTCCAGTCAAAGTTTCACTTCGCTTTTTTGGTGCGTCTATGGTATCATGTGCTAGAAAGTACCATGGAATTTTTCCATATTGTATAACAGCTCAGTTTATATTTAAATATAGTATTACATGTCATAAACCAGGGGGAGTGTATAACACCTTATTTTTATCAGGCAGCGGTAAACTGTATATAATGTAATATAATACCTTACAACTCTATCTATATCGGGATACATATCACGATACATATCACGATACATATCTTGATAAGGATTATAACATAATACATTGGGTGAGGGTTGAAGTATTGATAAACCAGACAAGCGGTAGGACAGATAACTGTTAAGTTGCTATTAGACAGTGCTACAGATTTAGTAGCACTCTGTAGGGTTTGTAATGTTCAAGGTGTGAAATGTACCGCCCTCTCTCTCGACTATGATAGAGGCCAACTATGACGTGTTTGGTAGCTGTTTTGTGTAAGTGATATGAAATCATTTCATTTGTAATGTTTCTATGTGGGTAAGTCCTAAAATGTGAGTTAACAATGTGGGTTGTAGTAAACGTTGAAATGTAGTTTTCTCCACATTGACTCAATGTAAATTTGCAAGATTTATTGAGTTTCATACCGCAGATCAACTCACTGATAAAAAATCCATTCTGATTATTGGTCCCTTAATGAAGGACTTAACAATCCCACTTTTAATGTTTCTTAAAACCACTAATCAGTAAGAAAATAACCCAACCTGTATAACAGTGTAATCAGCAGAGCCAAAGGACCCCAACTCTTCGTAGTAGTACCACTGCAACTTTACAGTCCCAATCAATAGGGGCTCTGAAATCTTGACATCACAACACAGACGACGGGCTGTGCCTTGTTCAATCCCTGAACATTATGTTCTTAAACATTGCAATGCTAAATGTTAAATTATAACTAAATACTTAATGGATATTCTGCAAATGTATCGACAGAAAGACTACAAATAAGGGAAAAAAACACGAGCATTAATTAAAAACAAGATCTTGTACAATGAAGTTTGTAAAGTACAACTTAAGTAACTTTAGTGTTTTAATAAACTTACACCACAAATATAGGTCACCAAAATTGTCTATTTCTTCTTGTTCAGGATGAGGTACCCATTCTCTGTCGAGAGGAAGAATTGTTAGTAAATTACACAACATTATGAACAGAATAAAAAATGTCACAAGAATGCCGGATTGTTGATTAGTAAAGAATTTTTGACAAACACAATGAGATGATTCAATGGATGGATGAATGGTACCGTTTAAGTTACCTGACAGATACATTTATTGACATAAGGTAAAATGAAGGTTTATTTTTAAAAACAAAATAATTATAAATTTTTAAATTTCTGTTCTTTATCATAATTTCCATCAACCCTGCTGCTATCTTGACAACATCTTAACTTTTAATTACCTTCTAGCATTAGATAATTGAAGGTCTGTGTATTCTGAACAGAGGGTAGCTCTTGGTTGGGTAACAAACTCAATACAGGGTTCACCACTACCTTGACAAGGTTGGGCAGAAGCAAGTTTATCGTTTGATCCTTCTGAAAACTTGATAGCACTTGCCACCAAAAGACATATCCATAACATTTTCTGAGTTTGGGATTTGTTAGATCAATCTTAACTTCAACATGCTGTATAATACTTTTAATTAAATCTTAACTATATTATAACTATGTTAAACTAATTACAACACTACAAATCTATTACATTTATTGAGAATTATGTAATGTAACGTGATGGAAATATTTTAAACGTGCATATCCTGTCCAAACCCAGGATGCACTACACGAAGAATTCGTTGTAAATTTGTTTGAAAAGCATTAATACATTCGCTAAGGATTGTAGAATCAAGAAAGAAGAGACATAACATGCGCTGTGTTCCTTGCTAGTGCTTCTATTAACCAGGACTTTTGATTCTACAGGCCCATTTACTTTCCCCCGATCAAAAGCATTGTATGTGAATCATTTTTATCTAGTCTTAAATATTTCGTATCAAAGCAGGGAGACAGCCGTCAGAGACCATCGCTGAAGGAAGACGATTTTTGAATTTGAAACGCCCTGAGATTAGTTTTCAATAGCAAGTATTCATATGTTATAATTATAAGAATATAATAGTATGTCACACCTATTTAACTGTTACGTTTGAGTAGTCGTGCCATGGCCATGGCTAAATCTAACTAGGACCAGTGGTGCCGATTAACATTTAATAGGTGAGTCTAAGTGACACAAATGGAAAATTTTAAGAAAAGACGGATCAAAACACAGATCCAAGGACAAGGAGACCCCACTGCAGGACCATACATGCTATTGGCTTGTGCATGGCCCAAAAGGTTCCAGTTGTCCAGGAAACTGTACGTAGCTGGTCAACTAGTTTTGAATTCAGACTAGGCTTGATGAGTTCTGGGGTTTCTAGAGTAAGATTTGATGGTGCCAGGTTTGTTCAGGCGGACATGGAAATTATGCGATGAATATATAATAGGTATATAAAAATCATATCAATATAAAAATAGATCCAAAAATAGATCCAAAGATTCACACGGCAGTCAGGGAACTTCCAGACAGGATGCTTTTGAAACAGGTATAATTAGCGCTTTTGTAATTAATTGTATGCAAGGGATGGGATGCTGATCAACTAAGCTGGTTCAATGCCCCAGCTAGTTCCATCTTAGACGACAACTCCATCTGTCAAATTATATGTTTAGAATCATCCATGACAATTGTCCTACAAAATTTATGAACAAATTTAGTTACATATCAGGAGGTAGTAGGAGCGGCGAAAGCTGCAACCTATATGTTAATATAGGTCACATAAAAACTTTCAATACTTGGGGGCAGAATGTTGGAATAATGTTCCAACAGATCTACGAAATCTGCCCGATGTTAAAAGCTTTAGTGATTCGTATAAGAAACAGCTACTCTCATCTATAACAACAGACCCTAATTATACCGTCGACAATTCATATGACAAATTTTACACTGCAATCATAGTCGACGATAACTAAGTATCTTCTATTTCTTTTAAATCTGAGGCATATATAATTGAAGTGTCGAAAGGATATTCCCTTTTTTACCACCTTACCATTCTGATTGATTCTGCACATGACTGACATGTTTTAACTGGAGAAGGGGTTCGCACAGTGGTAGTTTTATAAACCACTTTTAATTTATTGACCTATTATACCTAGTGGTAGTTTTACAGACCACATTTAATTTATTAACTTATTATACTTAGTATTTATTTTTGGTGACTGTATCACCCAGTACAGTTTTAACATTTGATAATTGTACAGTTTATTGACGACACATTGACCGAATGTTATTTTATATTCTAATTTATATACTAGATATTTTATTTATTTTCCAACAGACGACAACTTCCTGTTTTTTTTTCCCTTCTATATTAGTTACTCATATCTCTTGTACAGACTGTTCTACAAGGACATTGACAGATGATACTCATATTAGGCATTCATTATTGCATCTAAATTATTTCACTTGCATTAGGTTTAGAAATTTATTCTCTGGTTAACAGATTTCAAATATCATATTATTTGATTGGTATTCGATTTCTGATTATTTCCCTAGGAATATGATTATTATATCTCAATTTGGCTTTAGGTAGGGTGCCCCGCTAAAAGAACTGGATTCTTCCAGGAAGCATCCCGTGCACAGAGCTTGGTCTACATATAATATGTTAAATTATTAACCATTCATTCTGTATGTGCACGAAAATTTATTTCAATCAATTTAGGGGGAGCCACTCAATTTCACGCCCAGGTGTTGTCAATTGCTGGGTTTCAAGTAAAAGCTCTTTGATACGGCTCTTGATAATTGAGATGGTAATACTTGGTAATACTGCAATGGCAACGAGGACAAAAGAGCCACTAACCGTCACATGCTGTCAAAAATGCTGGTTTGAAAGATATGAGTTTGAGTTATTGGCGGGAGGACTGGCAGCAGAGGTCCAAGTATTATCTGATAACGGTGAACTAACCGTGATGCGAGAAACTGGCTATCAAGAAGAATTTAGCGTGCTTTATTGCAAGGACAGATGAACATTATATACAAGCTGTTGAAGTCATTAACCGTTAAAAAAATGGAAGACTGCAGCTATGAGGAATGCAAAAAGTTGATATTAGATCACTTGGCCCCGGCTCCGACAAAGTTTGCACAAAGGTACAAACTGAGAAGTTGCGTGCAGGAGGGCGAGGAATATACAGCAATTTGTCTCAAGACTTAGGACCATCTGCATCGCAAACGAATGCGATTTTGCTAATTACAACGAGGCAATACTGGATCAACTGCTCGCTCGCGCTGCTTGTTATATATATTGAATATTGATTGTTATTATTATTAATTATTAACGTTATGTTCTTCCCTAGCCTCTATGATTACGTGTTAACAGATTGTTTTATTTCTACTCTTACGCTACTACACGAGGGAGGAGGAAGTGTTAAAATCAGTTTGAACTCAGACAGAATGAAACCAAAGCTAAAGGGGGCTTTTTTTTCTGAATTTGTATTCTTGTTGATGAAAAATTGTTTAAGCATGATTTAAAAATCGTTTACTCAATGCAAAAAGTATATCTGGGTTTACAATATGCTCCAGATCGGGAAGGTGGACAAAAAAGGATCAATTTTTCTATGGCAGCCAAAAAATTAGCAGCGGCCGGCACATAGGTACGCCTTGCTAATGATAACAGAGATTGACTTCAGGGCAGTACGGATTTGTCAAGCTTAGAAAAAGCACGAATGTGGGGCTGTATCGTGGCTTTTGCCACTACTTAGTGAAACGAATCAAGAAAAGACTATTTCTATGGTAGAAGCTAGACATCAAGTGTTGCTGCACAAAAGCAAAGACACAGGTTCCAGATCCCAGTGTCACCTAGTCTAGGTCTAGCGGTGTAACGTTGCCTGTTGGCAACCTCTGCTGAATAAGCGCCTGCCTGTTGGCGCCCCCTCCCTTTTGGTACCCCTCCCTAAAATTGAACAAATTAGATGATAAGAGAATAAGCCGGTAAAATCTCTAAAAAAAGTGTGTTTTTAGAGCAAAATACGCAGTTTTTCATTCAAATGACGATTTGCCCCCCCCCCCCCCCCCCCCCCCCCCCCCGCACAGCAGGGTCGGCGGGGCCATTCATTACACCACTGCTCTAGAGAGTAGCTATGGATCTATTGGATCTATTGGATCCATGCATGCAGAATTTCACATCTGTGTAAAGTCTCTTCAGTCGACTCATCCAAATGGTCGGAGACATGATTGATGGTTAAATGAAGAGGGGCCCAGGACCTACCAAAAGACCAAGAATCTTCTTCGGGTACCCCTTCATTCAGTATATTCACAGTAGTATATTCACAGTAGTGTACAGTCAACATAGCACTATAATATGCCGGTTTAAGATAAGGAGTGTTCCGAGTGAAATAAATGACCAAAGCCAGTATTTTATTTGAGTTAATGATTATTTAAATTGTACGCACACAAATATAAACAAATAAAATGATTTAATAAAAATAATGAGTTACCTTTTGCAAAAATAAAAATTGCGCGTCGAAGCAACGACGTCTTTCAAAACAAAAACGCGTAATTTAACTTAATTGTCTGTTGTTGAATTGTCATTTTGTTAATAAAAGTTTAAAATTAAAAAATAAATGTGAATAAAATAATTTGTTTAATTTGTAAAATTTTATTGTCGTACACATTTGTTGTAATGTAGAGCTGACGCGCGCACGAATGCGCGGCTGCATGGCTACGTATTCAGTATTGTGGCTTTTCCGCCACTATTTAGTGAAACGACAACGGGGCCCACAACGTAATCAGTAATACAAAAGTTGTAAAATGTTACAAAAATGTAAATTGTTGCAACAACGCAATTTAGTCAAAATTGTGCTTTTTGCAAATGAAGCCGCGACTTATTAAAATTTAATAGTTTGCAAATAGTTAAAACCATTAACCATGATTGCCATCAATTTTTTGTCATGTCATACGTTTTATGACCCGCCGCGCACGGGTGCGCCGCTCCCCCTGTATCGTAGAATCTCTACAGGGGTTCCACTATAGTATTTGGGGGTCACGACGTGATACAATAATTGATAATCTCCACATAGCATTAAACCCTATACTATATATTTGATACCGGCTGCGGTCTATCTCAAAAAGTAAAAGGAAAGAAAAATTTTGTTCCTTTTACTTTTTGAGATAGAACTTTCCGGTTTTCAATAAAATTTCCGTCTGTAGCTTTTAAATCTGAGTTAGCTCCTTACTCCTCAGGAGCAAAATTTGGGACAACCTTGAACCGCGACCGGAACCTGGCCTAAATTTTGAATTAGACCAAAAGTTGATTTTGGTCCAAATAAAAGATCGCAGCTTTTTAACTTTGCAATGTCATGACTACTAGGCTAAATGTTCACCTAACCATGTGCTTTCGCGCCACTTCGGGCGCGCTTGTTTCACAAGTTTTTACCGCCGTGGGGCGGGCGCGCGCTACTGCAAGCGAGAGGGCTCTGGTTAGAGCAAGCTTTGGATAGAGCAAGGCTTAATGCAGCGTGCAAAAGTGAACTTGACCTGACGCGCGAGGACAAACGCCGCG